GCTTAAGTTTCGTCGGAACGAAGTTACGGAAAATCAATTAACAAACGGAGACGTAACAGTATTGTATTTTTTAAGTACTAATAAGTTTAGTATTCTTTAAGTATTACGTTTAGTACAGATTCAGTACTACATTCATTATTGTTTGATTACTAACTACTACGTTTAGATTGCTTGAATACTAAGTTTAATACGTTCAGTACTATAAGAGCACGAAATTTTGTTTGCATTCTTCGTCATTTGGTTTTATGTTTCAAGTTTAATGAAACATCACATATAAAACAGATATAAATAGTAACAGATCTAATAAAACAAACACTTGCAAGTGTTGAGAATTTGCTTATCAAATTATGTGTAGCATTTAGAGGTACGCATAAAGCTTCAATATGTGCCGATCTCTATAATCGACCAAAGTAGGCTAATAAGAGCTGATATTGGTCGAAACTGCAGTTCTCAGGTCGTCATTGTTTAGGCCTTGTTGTAACTTGTTAGTTTATATGTTTTCATATGAAAAGGTTTCATCAGTGTTTAAAGCTGAAAATCAATACATTCTCACAGTGTAAACAATATCCAGTTTGATTACGTTTTCTCTCTCTCTCTCTCTTAAATTGAATATGTATTGTTAAATTTCCTTGTTTGGTTATCTTTTTCAAAGTAAACTGAAATAAGTAAAACACAGAGATCTGTTAACACTACATTATATGCTATAAAAGTTTCTGTATTGTTTTTTGAATGTCGTTATTATACATATTACATTATTATAAAAAAGTTATTCCTTAACAAGCTGTTTACGCCTTTTGAATATCTCATATTGTTGACCATATTTGCCAACTGCGTCGCATTAGCTGTGTACACTCCATATCCCAACAGTGATTCTAATCAGGTTAATCATTATTTGGTAAGTATATGATTTTGTTACCCTACAATCCTTAATTTTACTTAGTTGATTTTAGCTTGCACACCATACAGATAGGTTTTAATGAAATTGCAAATAATTATTTTTTGTTACGCCAAAAGGGGGTGTAATTTTAGAGTTATTGTAAACCACTAATGGGGATGTGGTTAAAAGAGTTGAAGTGGGTAACACTTCGGAAAGAGTTACTTTTTCGAGCCTTAGTAGCAACTTGAAGGAATTATATCATACTAGTACACTAATAAGAAACAAGAAGAAGCAGAAGGTTGAAACTAAAATGAATTGATCTTGTTTTAGGTTTATCTTTTTGCCACAATCGCTTTAGAGAATGCATTACATTGGACTTTTGTCATTAGTTGGACATCAGAAATACGCCACTTAATTTCTCGGAGGTATTTTGAACTCAATTTCATGAATTGTTATTACCTATGTGGGTTATAAAGAACAGAAAAAAGAGAGCTTGTGAGAAAGGGTCCATTTATGAACCAAAGCATCTAGCGTAATGGTAAGAGTGCGTGCTATACATAACAGCAACAAAACATTTTTAGCAGATTAGTAGCCAGTCTTTAAGCCTTCCAATGTACCATAATCGCTTGGGAATAGACAGACGCCTAAGAATGAGTCGATAGCCGACTTGGAACATGTAGGCTTAGGCTAAATAGGTGATTTTAATCTAATAACTGAACATGTTCCAGTATAAAAAGTTTTATCACATCTAAAGCATGTAAAAACTTTTCCCAAATTAATTTTGATAAATTGCTCTCACACTGACAGAATACACAATTCGGGAAGTTCTACAACATGAAAATTATTTTTATAACCAAAATGACTTTGTTATATGTTAAACATAAATCACTTTGGCATGCTTAATTTAAGAAGTGCTTACCAAATGTTGCGTTAATTATTAAAACCTAAAGTTTGCCCTGTTTGATTATTATTATTTAAATAATTACACGATGATTTATGTTTACAATAACGTTTGCCATGTTTCAGTAGTTTTTAAAAATATGCTTGCGACGAATTTCGTTTATCATTTCGTATGTGATCACGATATTTATATTTGGTTGTGGCAAGAATTTGAATGGTTTCTATCTTCTATTTGCTTTTTAGCTTGCAATGATACGTTTTTACCCCAAAGGATGTTAAAACGTTAAAAACAATATGTCAGATTGTAGTAGACATTTCAGTCATTTCTTTACTCGTATGACGGTCTGTTATACTTTCAGAATAATGCGATGTTTAATCTGCTTTTCTTTCTGATCCCTACCAGAGACAACAGTAATAAATATGACATGGTAAGATAATGTTACGTCTCTGGTCGTTTGTTAATTTTTCGTAGAAATTCTTTCCGAGAAACTTCAGCGATACAATTCTTTTCTTAAATAAAACTAGTTTATTCTTTCTCAATTCAACTTTGCAATGCACTTAATTTCCACAGTCACTTTAACTTAACAAACACGCTATAATTCACAACGAACGATTCACGCACTTTATTTACTACTGCACTTGACTCAATTGTCCGTCTCTGTCTGTCTACAATTATCTTTAATCTATTATGCCGTCACTTCATTTGCCGGCTTATATATATAAACAATAGAGGGCGCATAGAGAAGACTAGAGTTGCCACGAACAGAC